TACAGCGTAATGTCTTGTATGATTTGTCAGCGTAATGTCTTGTATGATTTGTTGGCGTAATGTCTTGTATGATTTGTCAGCGTAATGTCATGTATGATTTGTTGGCGTAATGTCTTGTATGATTTGTCAGCGTAATGTCTTGTATGATTTGTCAGTGTATTACTTTATTTTGTGAGCAAAAGTGCATAACAAAATGCAGTTCATCTGTGTAAATTTTTTGCAAATTCTGTTTTCAGTAGGTATTTGTTGTTGTGTATGCCTCCCTTTTTCTATTCTATTTCTATTCAAAATTTTGTCATTGAAATTCTTTGTTTCAAATTCAACACATCCAAGTATTTTTTCAAAATTATAAGAGTCTTTCAATTTTTCATAAGTTCTCAGTTTGGTGGTAGGAACTGTGAGATTATGAGAATACTGCAAAGTATCCATTAAGGCAATATTGTGATCATATCAAATGATGCTTTACTGCACTGCCTGAGTCCAGGGATTTTTTTAAACAAGGGAACAGGGGTGCAGCGCCCTCATGCCATGGCCATGCGCCCCCTTACCCTGATCCTCTGGCAACCATAAAATTCTGATTGACCAGAGATCACATGTGGGCCACAGTCTTTAACTTTGACCTGTCTGATAGTAATTTTGGCCCTAAGGAAGCCATAGAATGCTCCATTTTAACTTAGAATTATCAAAAACTCCACACCCTGGTAGGGAGAACCCTATCTCCCCCACTTGTTGGCTCTGCTGAATTGCAGTGCTCTCTCTTGCATTTTTTCTCTCGAAAAACTCCTGGAGTCCACACTTTGCGGTATTCTTATGATAAGTTTATTATTATATAAATCTGTTAGCAAGTCATTCAAATACATTCGTAACACTTTCGCACACAGCTGTAAGGTGTTTTATGGACAGGTAAATTCTATAAAGTATTGTTTTTGGTGTCAGATGTATAATAATAATAATATGTATGCAAATTAAGCAACTAAATAGAGACATAAGCTTCTTCCTGCGGCGTCAGTAGATTTTGTCAAAGATTTGTTCATCTTAACAATATCTCCATTTTGAAACAACATTTTGGTAAGTTATTCCAGATTGGTTATACCAGTAATATCTCAACATTTTGGTTTATTCAATATATAATTCACTCTCAATGAACAATATCCCACCTAGATATTTCTCTGATAATCAGCAGATATTGAAGATGTACAAGTTATCACTATTATGCTGTAATCTTTGGTAAATCATGGGCAAATATCTTATTTTTTGCCATTTTCTTACCTCTGCCTCAAGATATGGGAACTGGTCAACCAGTTTGACGCCAACAAGGGGCCACCGTTTACCAGTCAACTCCGCTAACTTGGCGACTTCAAACGCATGATGTCCATATGTACTTGCTAAATGTTTCGCAACCTATAGAAAAAATTTAAAAAACATTAAGCCAAAAAATATGAAGAATCTTTCAATTTATATTTAACTGCATTTACAAACACAACAAACTATTTAATTTTTTCCACTTTTTTTTGTGAGGGCAAAATTTTGCAAAATAACAGACTGAAAGAACGAGCTGTCTGTTGGCTGATATAGCTCTGCTTTTACCAAAAATATTCACTAAAACTAGAAAACTGAACTTTTTGTCACAAAATCTATTCAACCAAGGTGTCAATCAATTGGGCTAGAAATTCGAGAAAAGCATTTTTTTACAAAAATATTAAAGAATTGAATGTATCGTCACAAAATGAACAAATATGACTAGAGGCCACATATAAAATATTCATTGACAAGCAATCTGGCTATTTGTTGAAAATAGCACTTTTTACAAAAAATTACAAAAATATTCACTAAAATTAGAAAATTAAAGTTGTACTAATGAAAGTAGATTTTAGAAATCTTACCTCAGTATCTAACCCATAGTCTTGGACTAATCTGATGAACATGGTCGGTGTCCAGCCAGCTGCGCCATCTAATAACATACCATCAGTTTGAGATGCGCAGGCTTGATTTAAATTGCACGTCCTGACTGCAGCATCTATCGTATCTGATGCCATGGATCTATACGTTGTCCATTTACCACCTGGTTGAGATAATAACATGGAATATAATTATCTGGCCTTGTCTGCGGCTGCTCTAGGGGCTGTGTCATGTCAAGGGTCATTCTTTTGTCTTTGAGCTCCCTCTCTAGAGCCAAATGGAGATCTCTTGCCATCGCCTTATACGGAGAGGATTGAATGAATAATTAGGTGATTTTCCGTTCAACTGCGAGATCTCACGAGTCGCATGAAAGACGCACGTCGAACGCCTGCCTCAAAAATCGAAACATTTTGATTTTGAACTCGAAATTCTTTATTTCGTAGCTCACATCGACCGGCCGATATTCAACAGAGGAATATTGCGTTTCAATACCCTCACTTAATCAAAATTGCCTATCATCAAATGTGGACAGCACATTATTAAGCATGGAAATGTTATCTAAAATACTTTCGCGTTTGTCAAATCCCACGCGATGTTTGACGCCACTATGACGCTATGACCTTTGTTAATCCTGTTTTTACGTTCGATTTCACTCATAACGCGTGATTTTCGCAGTGAGCGGAAAATGGTCTATTCATAATTATTTGGTTATACACAAAATATGCTAAACAGCAGCATGGTTATAGTATTGTCTGATGATGAGGTCAATGTGCTGCCTAAGAGCATTCTCTGCAGTACTCTCAAGAAACTATAATTGTTATACATCTACATCTATTGTATAGTACATTACCCACAATTCATGAGGTATAAAGTGACTGATGCTATAAGCCAATGGCCTCATTCAAAATATGAACATGCAAACTACAAGCACTAAATCTATCAAGATATACACTTACAAATCTTCACAACATGGAATAGACCTCAGATCCAAATGGTCACCACGATCTCGTTGAATGTGCCTAATTTCACCGTAAAATTTTCACTTTTGGAACTTATAAATTTTTTGTGACACCTAAATTAGCATACAATTTAGGTTTTTCGTTGTTGTTGATGCCAAATACAGTATTTTATTGTGACCAGCGTGAATGAGTAAACTCAGTTTCGACAATGAGTTGTTTTCAATGTTCAGTTTATCATTCAAAAATTTTTAATTTCCTGTTGTTTTTAAAAAAAAAACATGCAGTTTTCCACTATTCACTTGTGATGAAACAAAGTTGAATTTTACTTGCATTTCATAACAAACTAACAAATCAATTTTTTGTATGTTATTATAATCACAAATGAGTAATAATAATGTTTTTAACACTTCCAAAACAAGTAAGTTACCGTACTTGCAAATAGTGTTTAATTTACTTCCAACATGACGTTCTAAATACCTTACACAGATCAGTAGACAAAATGAAAGAATGAATCACTATTTAACAGGCTTAAACAGGACACATAGTTGTCTTAGCAGTCTTTAGGGTAACTTCTACTGCTGATTTCAAATTATTCTTGCTGATAATTGTGAGGCAGATTCAAACCACTGACAGTGATTGTCAGCATTCTATACCTGCTATTGTGATGAGTCTTTCTGGACTGACTTCAATAACGTGATTCCTAGAAAGTGACTGTGTATTCTTGGCAGAGGGATCCGTCACTAATGGTCTAATACCACTCCACGCTGCTAACACATCACCTCGTCTCACTAGAAAGTAATGAATAAACTATTAATCACATCATAAATCAACATGGTTTTTGTTGCAACAGTAATTATCTCATTAATTTCAGAGAAAAAAAGACTTTTGCATCAATCAAAAAACAAGACATAGTCATTCAGTATTTGATAAGATATTAAATATTGAAATGAACAGAGTAAACTAAAGTGATGAAACAAGACAAACACCACAGAAAAAACAGCGAAAATACTTCAGAAGATTTACCTTGTACATCTGGACTGAGATAGTTTTTGATTTCATCCAATATAAACTGTATGTCTTTTTCTGATGGTGCTGGAGAGTGTGACAACTCACACGGTGTATCCGTAGTCCCTGCTAATGTCTTATTCAACCATGGCAAAAAGAAAATAATTCTACCGTCACTGGTGGCGGGATCCAACAGACCCATTGTCTCTGGACTGTAAGAATCATGTACATATAAAATTATGAAAGACACTAGATTGAACCATAACAGTTGTTGTTATGGAAACAATCCATTTATCGAATCATTTGCTTGCTACACTGACAATCACTACACCAATGATGATAGGCTTACCTGTATTACCATGGTAACACAAAATGGACACTAGCACATGGCTAACGTATCGACTGTATTTCATCATGTGCCTGTCACAGTACCCTTTATACATGTAGTAGTAGTGATAAGCTTACCTGTAATAGCCTGGTAATACAATATGGACACCAGCACTTGGTTGACATATCGGTTGTATTTCATTATTCGCCATTTGACGTATTTTATCCGTGAATGGACCTGTGGCATTGATTACAGCTTTTGCTTTTACTTCAAAGGTTTGACCTGAAGAACATGAATGCAGATCCATGAATGTGAGAATTAGAGCAATATTGTAAATTTTAGTTATTCCATGAAAATATCCTTATTTACCCTATGTAATTCTTTTTTGTGTGTGTGTGATCTTTTAATAATACGCATGTAAACATCCTGGCCCATGTAGCAAGTCACAAATGTAACCCGTTTTTGAAAAAATTATGTATAAAAAAATAAGTTCACAATAATAAACATTTCCTTGGATATAGTGTGTCCGTACTCAACCATAACCTTGTATGTTTGTCTAACATTGGAATTCAAATAAACTTGAGTTATATCAAAGAAAATATATCTTATGCCTGTCCTGGTATTCTCTAATAGGTTTGGTCTTACAAACGTTAGTATAATGATGGGGATGGTACTAGATAGTGTAAATAAAGTACACCAAGATCTCTTTGTTGTAAACAACACAAAAAAGCTGTTGTTTGAGAGCACAATGCTATGGGGGGATCCATTTCTGTTTGTGATCTGAACATTATTGAGATAATGTAGTAGTCAAGATATAAAGAAATGTCAGGAAAAACAAACTCCATAACTTGTGAATGTGTGCATACGTTTATTACCATCGTATCCCATGAAGTGAGCTACACTAAACCAGTACATTGGCAAGATATCATACTGATACATAAAATGCCTAAGTTTGAAAAAAAAGCTTTTTGAGTTAATGAACGATGATGATACCACTGACAAAATGGACAGAACTATTAACGGTATAGACTTTCTCTTCCATTTTATTATGGACAAGACCAAATTAGAACATCCCATTTATTAGAAAGAAGTATTTGTATGTCCACAGTAAGAATTGACTTTATATACTTCCCTACTACATGCCACTGTAGTCATTGAGAAAGTTTTAGAGATAAAGTAGTCAAATGCACAGACATAATTTATATTTATGTTGTCCACCATATTGACTACACCATATTGTAGTGCACTGAGCCTTTGCATTCCCTAGTGTCCTTTTTTTAGTTATTCATTAACACTCACACATCCCCTCGAGGGAATGAAAAAGGTTACAACAACTATATTCAATATGAATAAGAAACTAAAGAAAAAGAAAAACACAACACAGAAACACCAAGACAAACATGCACATAAATACACAAACAAAACACAGGAAAAAGAAAACCACCTAAGATTGTTTTAATAAATTTGCTACATTGATACAAACAAGAAGGTTCTCACAGAAAATTAATTCAGTTATGGTCATGAAATGTGTAGGCATTAAGAATGAAGATATGTTAAGGCTTGAAAGAAATGACATGAGGATGGTGAGAAGGATTTATGGTGTTAACTTGAAGGATCAAATGGCTCAATAAACTGAGAGAACCAACTTTGGATTGCTAGCATTGAGGACGTCATGAGGACATGTGGAAATGGCAGATGACAATATCTGGATTAAGAAGAGCAGCGTTGAACACTGAGGGTCAAGTCAGTACAAGAATCCTGCAGAAATTATATTTGTTCATACTGATCTAGAGTTACAGAAGTGGACTCACAAATGCTGAAGACAGGAAACAGTCAACGCAGTCAACAACAATTCATTGAATCTGTAAAAAATGCACTTCATCAGAAATTGAAGATGAAATACATTTTGTAACAGGGTGTGATTTTTATAATACTGAAAGAGAAATACTTTATACAGAGTTCACAAATGTACTCCCCACTTTTCAATCAGAAAACAATATAAACAAATTCAAAACTATTATTAATACAAAAGAACATAAATTAATCAAGCATGTGACTAAATACTTAAAACTTTGTTTTAAGAAACATGACACATAGACATGTACTTATCATACATAATTGTATATCACCACACTGTATTTATCTTAATTTTTTAACTTCTATTTTGTTACTGGTACTGTTTTTTTTTTCAAATTTATTACATAATAGCCTAAAATGATTTGTTAACTTTCATTATGGTGTACTTTCATTATGGTGTAATACCGGTAAATGAAATTATTATTATTATTATTAACCCACACAAGCACCTACAGAGATAGATAAATTAAAACATGTTTACCTTCCCGTAGCTAGCACTAATATAATATATATACATTTGTATTTTACCTGACAGACAATCTTTGAGTTTAGCACCACTAATAACTTTTCTTCCATTATCTGTTGTTGTCTTTGTCAGCTCCAATACCTCAGTATGGTTGGCAATGGTAGCACCGAGTCTTGCTGCGGTCAAACCTATCGTAATATTCATACGGGCATCATTGTGCGTACCTACAAATAAACAAATTGTGAGTATGTGTATAGATGATAGTCAGGTCACTGACATTTACAAATTGTGTGTTTCACCAACTTTATACAAATATTTGATAAAAGTAATACTGAACCAAAATGATCTTCACAATATATCCAATTGAATATACATTAGGTAAAAAGTTAGGATGCACATATAAACAGCACCTAGGCAGTAGGCTATACACATGTAAACAGCACCTAGGCAGCAGGATATGCACATGTAAACAGTACATATGCAGCTGGTTATGCACATGTAAATAACACCTAGGCAGTAGGCTATAAACATGTAAACAGCACCTAGACAGCAGGATATGCACATGTAAATAACACCTAGGCAGCAGGATATGTACATGTAAACAGCACCTAGGCAGCAGGTGATGCACATGTAAATAATACCTAGACAGCACGCTATACATATGTAAACAGCACCTAGGCAGTGGGTCATGCACATGTAAACAACACCTAGGCAGCAGGATATGCACATGTAAATAACACCTAGGCAGCAGGATATGCACATGTAAACAGCACCTAGGCAGCAGGTGATGCACATGTAAATAACACCGAGACAGCACGCTATACATATGTAAACAGCACCTAGGCAGTTGGTCATGCACATGTAAAACAACACCTAGGCAGCAGGATATGCACATGTAAACATCATCTAGGCAGCAGGTCATGCAAATGTAAACGGTACCTAGGCAGCAGGATAAGCACATGTAAATAACACTTAGGCAGCAGGATATGCACATGTAAACAGCACCTAGGCAGCAGGTGATGCACATGTAAATAACACCTAGACAGCACGCTATACATATGTAAACAGCACCTAGGCAATTGGTCATGCACATGTAAACAGTACCTAGGCAGCAGGCTATGCACATGTAAACAGCACCTAGGCAGCAGGCTATGCACATGTAAACAGCACCTAGGCTGCAGGATATGCACATGTAAATAGCACCTAGGCAGCATGTCATGCACATGTAAACCTAGGCAGCAGGTCATGCACATGTAAACAGCACCTAGGCAGCAGGTCATGCACATGTAACCAGTACCTAGGCAGCAGGCTATGCACATGTAAACAGCACCTAGGCAGCAGGCTATGCACATGTAAACAGCACCTAGGCTGCAGGATATGCACATGTAAATAGCACCTAGGCAGCATGTCATGCACATGTAAACAGCACCTAGGCAGCAGGTCATGCACATGCAACCAGTACCTAGGCAGCAGGCTATGCACATGTAAACAGCATCTAGACAGCAGGATATGCACATGTAAACAGCAACTAGGCAGTTGGTCATGCACATGTAAACAGCACCTAGGCACCAGGATATGCACATATAAACAGCACCTAGACAGCTGGAAAAATGAATTTCCAGCTACTTACATGTAATGCGCATTAACTTGCATTTACTAATTTGGTATCACAAAGACCATTTTAGCACAGTATTACATAAATAAGTAGCTGGCAATAATGCAGTTCATACCTGTTTAATAAGACATCCATGCAATCACTAATATAATGGATCTCATATGTTGTAATTATTGATATCTATTTGGTGTTCTGTCCAGGGAGTTACTTTACCAAGTCACAATGCTAAAACACTATGACCTGTACACATACATAGATGGTGAATATATATGCTACTTAAAGTTGGTGACAACTCTAATGCAAAAATAGAAGGATTCTGGCCCTTCACTGAAGATGAAATAGTTTCAGCCATGAAAGCCATTACTACATTGTTATACTAGTAGCCAATTGCCTCAAAGCTTTAGAAAAATCATTTTGTTTTCAGATTCAGTTTGGTGCTTGTAAATTATTTTAAGCTGAGTAGAATCATGAATAAATCTTGTGTTTGAATATCTTGCAAGGAATCCACAATGACCAATTTGATACAATCCCAAACAATTCTACAAGCGACGAATTCCACTGAGCAAGTCATCTTGAGGCTTGGCCTTACATTCTAAATAGAAGTATATCATTTATCTATGCAACAGATGATAACTGCTACCAAGGTCACAGTTTTATCATCTAACACTTCACATTAAACACATTATAAAGTTTGAATTTGGCATAATTTTCAATTCGTAGCAAAAGAGGGCGCTGTCTAGCAAAGCTATTTTCCACCTTCAGAGGGCAGTATAATACTCACCATCATAATAAACAAGTGCTCCTACAAGTGCATCTTTCTTGAGCATAGGGAATATCTCCAATGCCTTGGCTTTTGAAAGGAAATAACTTTTTTTAAGACACTGCTTTCCAGCAACAATATCGTAGGCTTTAATACCAACCCAGAAATAAGGTAACTGCCACCATCTAGCAAGAAATAAAAGTTAAACCATACATCTATTATAATATATCTACTAACAAAATTATTCACTATTTCTGACAACTATTCATGGTAGGGATTGAATAAATCATCAATTGTCAATAATTATCCAAACAATTTTAGTGCAGAAGAAATGTACATGTAAACTTGTAAAAATACTGATTCAATATTTTGCCTGAAAAATGATTTTTTTTTGCTGTGACAGCTCTATATGTATTATCGTTGTATGCTAGTTCTAGGGATAGCACTTGTGTGTATACATGTATGTGGGAAACAGGTCAAAATCTGGTAATTATTCCTTGAATACACAATGTAATCGGTTCATTTGTAAATTATGTGACGAACAAAACTGGCATATAAATTACATCACAATAAAATGTTAACAAATATCTTACAGAGAGTTACTTTACCAAGTCTGAAAACTGAACAATCAGAGTAAACATAAACACCTAAAATGACATTTGTTGTATATTAGATCACTAAAATATTACGTTAGTATTTCAACCATAGAAACACTTAAGCACATACATTTGTACACAACTGATATTACTACTGTACAGTATTCAATATATATTTAATTGTGTATGTAAGACCAATACAGTATCAGTGCTAGTTAATACACTACAATCAAAAAACAAATGACCTGACGGTGGATAGACATCCGTAGAGCAGTCTTATAATAATAAATGAACACATGTAGTTCCATAAACATAGTGAACAATCAAATAATGTTGGTTTTGTTTACATTCCATCCTAAGTGTTTCTACTCCTGCGTTTAGATATTATCAGAAATAAGGATTCATCAACTTCAGTTATAGAATACGTCTGTGAATTAGTAGTTTAAGAGCGTTGCTCTTATGTCATGAAATGAACTAATAGAGGTCCACCCAAAGCACATACACATTGTAAGTAACAAACAAATCAAAGTAGAAATCAAAATAACATTTTTGACCAAAAATTACAAAAATATTCATTAAAAAAGAATTGAAAAAGATGTCATGAAATGATCAAATCCCAAGAAACATATATACCAAGTATAAAAGCAATAGAGTAAACAGTTTTCAAGAAAAAGCTGTTTAAAAAGTTTATGCCAGACACGGGACGACAATCACCTATACCAACAACTCAGCCTGGCATTTTCAATGACAGTGGAGCTAAAAAACATTTCTTGAAAAAATTATGTGATTTTATTTTGTTTTTTCTCATTGCTCTATTCTCAGCCTTTCTTTATTTTTACATTTTCTTTCACTTTTTCTACATACACCAAAAACATAGTTGAACTCTGGTGACCTTGCCCTTTGTTATATAATATAATTCCCTTTATCATAGTTTGTTTCAATATAAATATGCATTGTCATAATTAATTTTGAATACAAACAAGTTTTGGGGTTGAACCAACAGTGGGGAATCAGTCTACCGAATGTCCTTAAAATATGGAACATAATTTCCAGCTTTATTGAAAGTAATTGAGATATTTAGAATAAAAACAAATGTCTCATTGCAAAAAAAAAGTGCTGCATTTAGATGTGAATAGATTCATAAAACATGCAAGATAACAGAAAAATTTAGCTGGCTTTAGTTCAAGTATTTTGTACAGGTGTCTGTCAAAAATGAATGATTCACTGAGACAAATATGAACTGCCTCATTGTGTGACTACTGTATTATATGAAAAGTAAAAAAAAACACCCTTTATGAATAGCTATCATGTTGCAAGCTCTGCTTTGTATGCAAATCAACTTAAATAGTTGGTGTCCAGTGGAGGGAGAAGTCAACAGTACTGTTGCCTCCTGAGAAACTACATCTTCAAACACTGCAATCTCTGAAGTGCGTTTTTAAACTAGTATTATAAAAACTCTATCATTCTGTTCTAATAGCTGAAACATATTCCTGTGAGTTTTCATTTGTCGAATGAACTGTTTGTCAAATACAGAATACATATCTTTTAGAATAATTTTCTTTTTAAAATGTGGATGAAATGTTTTGCTTTTAATGTATTTTTTATGTATTGTTTTTGATTTATAACTTTTGACTAAACAGATTTTCTATTAGCTTCAGATCTTGATCAAAGTTTGGCACCCAGTTCATAGCAGCGCTTATATTGATTTTCTGACATCTTGTTTTCTGTAAAGATTTTATTGGTAGGTTTGCAAATGTGTATCAGACTGTGCAATCTCTCCATGAGTTGGTTTTGAAACCCAGTATGGGATTCTGAGATACATTACCAGGGATATTATTACAAGGATAAATCATTTGCTTCATTGAACACATAAAACAATGCATATTTCCATCTGAGATCAGTGACCTTGATGTGTATCACCAGTGATCAGTCAAGTAGAAACAGTCAAAATATTTTATCAGATTTTCTCAATTTTTGCATGATATTTTCATACAGGACATCTGTTGTTCAAACTCAGGGAAGACATTATACTGATGAATAAGGTGACCAAGTTTGATGAAGTTTGGAATAGAATTAGTAAAGTTATTATGCACACAATAACAATTATTAACAACGACAACAACAACGACGACGATGACGACGACGACAACGCCAGACAAAATTTTTCCCTTAATATACCTTTCCCTTCCATCTTTGATGGTACGGGCAAGGTAATAAAAATTATAAAAGCAGTCAAATGGTTACCTGACCTTTATATGCATTAAGTTAATACACACACTTACCCGTTGTACCAGAGGGACACTGTTTAATAACATTTCCAGAACCAGTTAATGTTTCCGGCCAATCTATATCTCTCACTTTAACTGCAGGGCAGTATAATCGTCTTCTATCAGTTGTAACTTTGACTTCCACTTTGGTGGTTTTAAATTTACTATCTGTTGTTTCTATGGATAACACAACAATAAACAAGTCATTGTTAATGACACAGTCCCCCTCCAAAATTTTGTGATCTGACATATCAATTTGATGCTGATGAAGTCATTGAGATTAGATTGAAACCATTAAAAAATTATGATTTAGTGCTTTTATACGAGAATTGGACATTGGGCAGTCATATTGAATCAAATTACAAAAATAATGTTCATGTTGTTGTATCTATCTGTCTTTGTACAACATTTAAACAGAAATGTTCATTGCATTCATGAAAAACAAAATAGCCACCAGTCGGAAATAATTTTTTCAATCACGAAAAAAATATGACGTGCGCCTATAACCCAATATGTATGATCACTATACCAATTTTGATTCAAATCAGCCTAGTCATCTCTGAGAAACAGCTCTGGACGGTTAACGCTTTTACAGGAAATTTT